GGAATAATTATGTTGACATTATTCCCTTCCCGTTCATTCTCATCTTGATTCTGATGATTGGGTCGAGTGGGCTCTCCTTGATGAGTTGTCAGAGCCGCGATTTGCTGGTCATGCATCTCTCTCATTTGCTGCATAGCCATCTCCATCTCGAACTTGAAGCTTTCCTTCTGTCGAGCCAGGGCATCTTCAAGCATCTTGGTTACTTGCTCGGCACTTATCATGAGTACCTCGCGGGGTTGTTCCTCGCTGGATACCGTGTTGTCCGATGCAATCGCAGAGCAGGCATCTGATCCTTCGTCTTCTGACGGTAATCTCGTCCGAACCCTACTATAAGTCCCTCGTGTAATGGTTCCGGACTGCAAATGAGTTAAATACCAGGGTACTAGCGGAATTGACTCGGGATTGTCCCCTGTCGATGCCCTTTTGCTGGCCATATTAGTGGTGACCTTCGGAAATTCTCCGTCTTCGACTATCCTTCTTCTTCGTCGGAAGCGCCTAGGCTTAGTCTCAGACGTTCCGGTGGAAATTCTCTCGAACACCGAAACTCTCCTTGGAGCTTTAGAACAACATTCCGACAAATACCGCTTTGATGATGTTGGCACACGGACAATGAGGCTCCGTGTCTCGAGCATCTCGCTTCCAATACTTGCACCCCCAGCTCTATAGTACAACTCATCAGTTTGATAACTGGAGCAACCCATAGAGTGTTGGCACAACTTTCCAGGTATAACACAATCATCATCAGACGAATGTGTTTCTCTCTGGGGATATGACGCATTATTAGCGTTTTCAAGAGTCGCTCGTTCAAGTCTACGCTTTTGCGAGCGTAAAAACTTAACGGGCTCTTGAGTTTCGACACACAACCCGATGCGGTCGGCAATAGGGGTTTTCCCTTTGTTATTTTCCTTGGGGGGATTAGAACGACCCCCAGTCGGGTTTATCATTTGGGGACCTTTCAACGGACCCAATCGCTCTTTGATAGGTACTTTACCTCGATTCCCCGGTAAGGGACTGAGGCGACCTTTCAAAGGGACCCTGGATGTTGAAAGATCCGTGTTCTTACCTGACTCCACCGGAGGTGCGGGGGAACGGGACCTGGATTTGATGAAGGTTGGGCAGCAACATCTTCAGCTCTTGTCTTAGGTGTTGGTTTCGCCTTCAGCATCCACACCTGCTTGAATTTTGACGGATTCTTGACCGCCTCTTCTTTCTGCATCTCCTCCGCTTTCTGCAGAAGAGCTTGGGCGTGCGCAAGCAATGCGCGGCGCTTCTTGATTCGCTCTTCGAGGGTTGAACGAGTCCTCGTGACACGAACCCACTCGTTCGTTTCTGCCTTGGAGGAGGAGTTGGTTACGTACCGTTGTTGCTCTTGGCGCTGTCTGGATTTGAGGTCTTCATTGTAGCAGATCCCGTCCATCGGCTCCAAAGCCTTGGCCAGCTGACGAGCAAGGCGTTGACGCCGTCTTTGGCGTGCTCTCTTTGACAATGCTGGAGCGTCTTCAGAAGCCATCTCTTCGGCAGGGGAGAAGCCCGGATCTGCGGTCTCGACCACATTGGACGACGCGGGGACGTCACGTGGGGGGACGTCGCGTGGTGCGGGCGCAGCGGCGGCAATGGGATCTTGGATCTTCGAGCCGAAGGTCCCGCGAACATTTCTGGAAGAGGATGCCTTCCTGCGCCTGTTCGGAGATGCGGATCTGGAGGAGGAGGAAGAGAGGTCTTCTTCGAACTTTTGCTGATCGAACTCGTATTCGATCTCTTCATTCACCCGGATCTTGAATGCCGGTTGCGTCACGACGGCCTCGGCAGCGAGGCCGTTGGCTCCCACTGTGGTCGCCAGCTTGTTTGCGGAGAAAGTTGTTGTATTCATTGCTGTATTCATTACAACTTCAATCGTTACAATGAAACAAAAAAAGATGGTCTTTTTATAAGACTCTTACACAATGAAAACAAAAGTTACAACTCTCGTCAAAACAAACGCAAGATCCGTTTATCGTCTCTTGCTTGCGTGGGTCTTTGGCCTGTAAAATCGGACAGAGCTTCGTTGATCCGCATGAGATCTAGAAGCTTGAAGCGTCTATCTCGGCTAAAACGAGATATCTGCTCTTCTTAGTGATTACCGGCGAAGGGTAATACTAAGGAAAAGGGGGAACGGGTGATGAAGGCTCTGATGAAGACCTCTCCTCTCCTTGTTGAAGCGCTCGATCACTCTTCACTGCAGCAGGGCTTCGCCAATCTTCTCCAAAAATCCAGCTCCTCCAAAAAATGAGGCCCAAGGGGGCTATTTATAGGCAATAGGAGCACCTAGGGGGCCTAGACACCCCTGGGTGTCTTAGAAAAATCCGAGACACCCCTAGGGTGTCTCGGAAATTTCCGAGACACCTTGGGGTGTCTCGGAATTTCTGAGACACCCTTTGGGGTGTTTTGGAATTCCCGAGACTCCGTTGAGGTGTATTCGACTGTTTTCGCCGTAAATTCTTCGTCCGAACTCGGATTTGAGTGATTCCAAGTGCGTTGGATGCATGACGAAGAGTTCGATCCCCTCCGGTGGTTGGATTATCTGTAGAGTGATCGAGGCATGAATGGCATTGTCCTTTTTGTGAACATCGCCGGGTTCCCGATTGGCCTGGGTCTTCGTTGTTCCGAAATCCTATCAACTCACGTAGTTCGTCGATTCACTTCAATCGTTCATCGACGTCAATTGGACTCCTGTGGATCGGATAGTGACGTTCATCGTCGTTCTTTAACACTGAACCGTTCGTGGAGACCTATAGGCAATTTTCGATGCCTACAATGAGATCATTTTTAGTTATATGCGTTACGAACATGTACCCATATTGATTTTTCTAATGGTATACTAGAACTTATCATAGCTCTTATCAATTAATTAGGAGTTCTATGTTATTTTTAAAATTTATTTTTAATTATTTATTTTTAAAATTTATTTATTAGTATTCAAGTTTGCTGACGATTAGAATTTGATCAGATGTATATTCGATTTATTTGTTTATTAAATATTCATTTGAAATTGATCACAGGTTATTGTTTGTATTTTGCATATATGATGTCGCATTTTTAACCACTTACCATTTCTACTTATGTTTTATATACCGATTTTAAGACTCAAATAATCTTAAATCTATTTTATAATTTAATTTTGATTTAACTATATATTTGAAAATTTATTTTTTTAGCAGAATAAATATACTTTGATATTCGATTAGTATTGGTGAGTTTTTGACTTTGACTTTGATTAGTTTAGAGAAAATGATGCGAAAAGTTAAAATGATGAGAAAATGGTGAGATACCAATGAGAATATCATTTTTAGTTATACGTGGTACGAACATGTAACCATGTTGATCTTGCTATTGATATACTAGAACTTATCATAGTCCTTTTTAATTAATTAGGAATTCTATGTTAATTTTAAAATTTATTTATTTTTATTCTTTATGCTAGTAGATTCGATGACATCCACTACTCTTGGATTCGTTTACGGATGAACTTGAGTCTGTAAACATCATTAATGAATTTTAGAGGAACTAAATTAGATTTAATCACTAAAAACTGGATGAAAAAGGTTTGAATAGAGTTCTCTTGGAGTTTTTATAAGGTTAAAAGGCGAAAGAGCCGTCGAAATTGAGTTCGAGCGGATATGATATATGTTAGAGAAAAAAGTTTTAATGGATATGGGTTTTCACATTTAAAAGTTAAGAGAAACTGATAATAATAGTTAGATTTAAAGGAATATTTTTTTAAATTTAACCGATAACTAATTGTAAATATTGTGATGATTTGAGGGATGTAATAGAAATTTTCATGATTTGAGTGTCATGAGTGTAATTTTGAAAAGGCGATAGATGTGAGGGATTAATTTGGAAATATTAAAGATTTGAGGGACTAATATTACAATAATCCAATCATTGATTCTGAACTTAAGGATGTAAAAGAAAATTTGATAATAATAGTTAAATTTGAGGGTTGCAATCAGCAATTTTTCTATGATTTAGGGCACTATTCTGAAAAAAATATAAAACATTTAATAAGGCCCGTTTAAAACTAAATTATTTTTCAAAATTTCCCAAACAAAATCTAGCCCAGCGCTCCCAATCTCATTCAGCCACATCTCTCTCTCTTTCCTCATTCTCTAACCATCCGGCCGTCGCCGCTTGCGCCTTCACGCCGCTCGCCTCCCACAACGCGCGCCCCCGGCCCGTCCCTCCCACAACCGATGGAATCAAGCTCCATCCACCCGACCCGTCGATCCAGCCTCCAGCCCCTTTCACTGGCCCGTTCATCTTCATCTTCAACCTCCAGCAAACCTGCCTGTCGCCGCTGATCCAGCCCACCGTCTCGCGCACACCTCCAGCATCCGACCCGCCCACCTCCAGCCACCCGCTTCCGCCACCCTCCAGCACCCAACCCGCCGCCTCCAGCCTTCAGCAAACTAAAGTAAATGGCCCTTTTTGTCAGCCTCCTCCAGCCTTTTTAGTAATTAAGCTGCAGGGATGAAGAATATTTATTGATTTAGTTGATAATAATATTACGTTAAGTTGAATCATTTTCAAACCATTAGTATGTACAATGGAAAATTAATTGCATAACAATTTAATTTTTTGCATATGCATTGCACTTGGCAATGTAGAGTAGTAATAAGTAATTTATTTTCAAATTCAAATTTTAGTGTGTTTTTTTAGGGTTTTCTGCAAAAGTTATTAGGATTCAATGTGACCTTTTTTAGTGTTATTAGGGGTTCACTCCAAAACTTGCTGCATTAATGAGCAGTGTATTGTTGGGTACTGTGTATCCATCAAAACTTCATATTGGCAATTTCTGTAGTTTTTTCTTGAACGGGTGCAATGAATTGGACATTCTTTTAGTAATTCTCTTATGAGTTAACCTCATCATCGTGATTCATAGCCTGATCTAGGTATTAATTTTAATGTTCATGGATATTTTATGTTCTATATAAATATTTATTTCCCATTTTATATTGCAGACAATCATCATGATGGATTTGGTGATGACGAGATCCAAAACGAGTCTTTCGTGGGATCTTCTCAATCGGAGATTGAATGTCTCCGTCCATGGACTGAAGCAGTAAATTCCATCCCCTTACCAGAAAAGGCTATCACATTGCAAAAGAAATACGATAGGAACTATAAAAAGAGGAGAGATGACATTAAAAATAAGGATCGTATAATAAAGTAGAGACTAGAAAAGGCGATGTCAGATTAGTTGAGGGAAATGAGTAAGAATATCATGTAAACTATTGAGATTTAAGAATATCATGTAAACTATTGAGATTTCGTCGTTATTTAATTATTAAAGTTTATAAAAAAAATATATCTCTCTTTGTCTTTGTAGGGAACAAGGACTACGAGAAGGCTGTTAGGCATGGCAGTGATCTATTTACGAAAGTACCGCCTAAAGGTTATCGAGCCGTTTTGGGGTGGATGAGCAACATTCCAGTTGGAGATTACGCCGTCAGATTTAATAATTTGATCGACTGTTTAATCAGAGACCCACATTAACATCGCTCATAACTTTGATGAACAACAATGGAATGAAATAAATAAGATATGGGGGGGCTTATGGTAATTATTCATTTATATTATTTTTTTAATAAATATTTATTTAATTTTTTAATAGTGCATGTTTTTTTCACACATAATTTGTAGAATCACTATTGCCTTGAGGAAAACCCGGACTCCTGGGATTACGTAATGAGTAGAGCGAGCAAGATGCTTCGGGGGTAGAGGAGTAGACTTAAGAGTCAATACTTTACATATATAACCATTGATTGGAAGCGGATTCATCAGCTTGATAAGAGGGTTCCTCCTTATAATTGGATGACTCATTATCAAGTGGGAGGGTGAGAGGAAGGTGAGTTATTTTTAATTCATTATATTATCACCACACATACTGAAAAATTACTTTATTTTGAAGGATAAATGTTCGATAGCATCGGCTAATCGCGATGCAAAGCTATATGATCACTTTCTAGGAGCTACTCCCTACGCTTGGATCGAGCATAAATATTTGTGTGAAAATCTGGTTAGATCAAAATATTAAAACTCAACTCATGGTATTATTTTTATATTTTATTAGAAATAACTTGAAATTTGATTAATCATAGGACGCCTTGACTATGCCGTCAACTCTTCTTGCTAGAAGAGCATATACACCACCCGAGGGCTATGATAAGGAGGAAAAGATGACAAAAATTAAGGATATGCATGTAAGTATAAACTTAATTTCATATTTGCACACATGTATTTCTAATTAGAATTCATCAATGTTCGAATACCATTTATAGTGTAATGCATGCATATCTGCTTAATTATTCATTCATGTGCTTTCTAAAACATTGTTCTCTATAATGTTACATTGTAAACGGTAAGCTAAATTTAGCTTGGAGGCTTCTGTCAAGTAAATCACGGATGTCTTTGCATTAATGAAATTCTATAGGGTAAGTCCAAAACGCTAACCTTGTCTTGCTATAGCATGTCGCCATCTTGTATCCATCCATTGAATCTTATTCCATTGTAGGTTGATCCTTTTGCCAATGGTTTAAAAAAAGAAAAGGGATTCCAAGTCAAGTATGTAATTAGCTTGGATTACACCATATGTATTGATCTGAGAGAATTGTTATAGCAATTTAGGTTATCTAGCATTTTCATTTAAGTTGGGCTTGGAGTAATTTTTTTTTCCGAGTGAGTTTATTCCACAAAGTATACCCTGCATTTTAAGGAACATTTATGTTTATCCTTCTGATAGAATGAGATAAGTATAACATCTAAAGTCAAGATGTTGAGTTATTTAAGGAGCGGGTGATGCTTGTTCAACAGCTTCTTTTATAGAATAATTATTGTGCTAGTTGTCAACGAGTATGATTAACACTATCTCCTTGTCATGTAGAAAGGAATATAGACAACTCACACATATCTTGTCTCCCTTCATATACAAAACTTTGTATTTATGACAGAAGATGCATACAAGTTATGCGTATGAGATTGTTAGAGATTCAGAAAGCTGGGATTTGTCGGTGTGACAAAACCAAACTTTATATTGTGACAACTATACTATAATCAGTTAGCTTTGGAGAAAGTTGCATTTTGGTGTTGGGGTTACAAAGTTCTGTTCAGTTTTTTATTTGCTATAGGGTATAAAGCCTATATAATATCTCGGTTATAAAGATCATATTTCATGCTTATGGTGGTCCCCTCCTATTTAGCTAAATATGTTTGTGGCACAGTGCCTACCTTATACCATTATTTTCTAATACCTTCAGCATGTATAATTAACTTCCTCAAATTGCAATCATGGCAACATAGACTTGTCAGAATTATTACAGTTTACAAGCAATCATTTTAGATCTGAACAAAGATCTTTCTTTTTAAATTATAATTGAGTGATAAAATGAGTTGCTTCGGCATAAGATAAAGTATGTTACCAATTATAATGGAACGATTGTTGAATTAACGTGAAATTTATAAGCACACATCATGTGTAATATTAGATTTTTCTTCTCAATTAGTGTACCATTTCAGACATTTCAGGAAGTGATAGCAAAGTAGTTAATTATCCATCATGTACTTTTTGACATTTTATGGAACGATTGATGTTTTTGCTGAATTAAGTGATAGTTTCATCATCAACGACCATTAAGGGCTCTACAAACGTAATTTTATATTTGCATCATAAACTTAAGGATATGCATGTAAGTATAAACTTAATTTCATATTTGCACACATGTATTTCTAATTAAAATTCCTAATTTATTTATTTCTATTGATGTATGTTATTTAGGAGGCGCTTGACGCTTCACAAGACTGTCTTGTCCCAGTTTCAGAGCATAGAGAACACTCCTACCGATCCTAATCGCATGACTAGAGAGCAATGGAGGGAAATTGTTGATGGAGTTTATGGCTCTAGACCAATCAAGAAAGGGAGGGTGTCTTTATCAAGTGCAAAAGTTAGGACATTCTCGACTAGCAGGAATATACAAAGCGACTCGTCCGTGACCTCAAAGCGACCATGTGAGACATCGTACACCGTGGCTAAAATTGGACGGTATTTAATGGATAATGTTCAACCCTCCATATTTTTTTAATTTATTCCAATTATTATGCGCGAGCTAGGGGGTGCACAATCGATTTGAAGGAGATTCTTCCTGAGTCGATATACTTAGAGATCTTTAAGTTGGCGTTTGACGAGCATGAAGTTCATGGTGGTGGAGAGGTATATATGACGTGATATATATGTATTTATTATGATATTTTTGGTATATATATATCTTATGTAGAGTGATAATCTTTTTCAGGTTAGAGGAGGTACTCCCGTAGGGAGCAGCAATACGATACGACGTTCTAATACAGACGATGCTGATAACGGGGATGCCGGCAATGACGATGACGATGAGTGAGTGAGACTTGTGTTAAGACATATTATGACTTTTGAATTTTACCTATATGTAATATATTTGTGATTTTATTGTGTAGTGAATGAATATTATTTGAGCATGCGAGATGTATTGTGATTGTGATTATATGAAGAGTATTGTTCGATATTGTGGATTGACGGATGCAATTGGATGAGTATTCATTTGGAATGTGAATGTATATCATGGTTGATTTTATGATATATTGTTAAATATTGTTATGTTGATACATGTTATATGTGTATTCTCGTATGGGAGACTACCAGAAATTTAAATTTTTTTTGCGTAAATATATATTTTGGCGACAGGTAAATCCCCGTCGTCAATGTTTTAAACATTGGTGACGGGGATTTATCCGTCGCCAATGTTCTAAACATTGGCGACGGATTAACCCCTCACCAATGTGCATTGGCGACGGGGTAGCCATCTCGTCGCGAATGTTTAAACATTGGCAACGGATATCCCCGTCACCAATGTTTATTGACGACGGAAAATACCAGTCGTCAAAGAAATCCGTCGCCAATAAGTATTGACGACGACCAATACTTATTGGCGACGGATCCTTTTCCGTCACCAATATGTATTGGTGATGGATTTTGGGGGCATTGGTGACGGATTTTCCCGTTACCAATGCCCTGTTTTCTACTAGTGTGCATTAAGAAAATCAAATTTTTTTTCAAAGCTATCAGCTGCTGTAATATTTTTTGTACTCCGTGCATTAAGAAAATCGAGAATTTCTTTCTCTATTCTAATACGAGAAATTCACCTTTCCTTAAGAAAAGGTGAATGTCTGAAAACGAAGCAACGAAAAATGTTCGTGATGAAAAATTGTTAGTTTGGCGGTTGTATTATTATATCGGTTTATAAGTAGCTAGTGTTTGGTATGGCATTATTACCACAGTCGTCCATTTTTGTGACAAAAGTTTTTATGTGATGATAGATATGAGCATTAAATGGTTTGAAAATTGTGGATATTAAAAAATAGATATTGCTTCAATCGGGAGTCCAGATATCAACCAACGCTCAACCTGTGAGGTACATATTAAAGCGTAAATCACAACTTTTAATCCTCACCACAAATTTAGAGGTTTGGTATAGTTGATTGGATGTTTTCCTTTTTGTGGGTTTATCAAAGAGATACTCAAGAATAATACACTAATAAGTATTTTGAAATCTACATCAGAATATGTGCATTTGCTATGCGTTTGCATACATACATAAATACATAGATAAACACACGATAGTCTGTGTATGTATATGAACATATTTCTTACTTTTTGGTACGATACAAATACAAAAAAATGTAAGTCGGATCTTGGATTCTAAGAGCTTGTTTGGCAACTCGCACCCTAATCAGGGTAATAGCACTAACTTGGGGTTTGTTTGGCAACTTTGAAAATAATGTAGATCAGTTATGAACTAGCTCCACTTGGCCTGAATTAGTCTAAACTTGACTATATTGTACTAGTTAGTTCTAATTCAAAACTCGTTTTGACTACATTTATATTAAGCTCTATTTTCGAGCCATTTAACCTAGCTCTCTTTTAGACAGGGGGACATGGTTTGTTTCTGGTCTAGTTACTGAGCAAAAGTGGGCTTCAAAAGATCTAGTTTGCTCTTTTTTTTTTATTTGCCAAAACTGGTTGAGCACGTGGACCCATTTTGTCTAAGAACTAATTTAGTCTATTTTTTTTATTTGCCAATACGGGTTGAGCACGTGGACCCATTTTGTCTTCAATAAAAAGAGTTTACTCAGTTTGCCAAACTAGTCCTTAATTAAGAGCTTACCATGGATTTGGTAAAAAATTGTACAACATTGGACCTTAATTAAGTGTGTTATCATTGGACCACCCTCACCTTAGTTCAATTATATTTGGTAAAGGCCTTAACCGGATTAGCGTGTAGCTACTAAATACACTCTTAACATTTAATGTTAGTCAAAGCATCAGTTTCATCGTCCCAAACCCTAACATTGTCTCGGTTATTTACGAGCTTGCCATGAGATATCCTTCACTGTCGACTGTGTGATCCAATTTATGGATGGTATACACAGAAAGAGGATGATTATAAATAACGCATAACCTAGTCTAGGGTTTCAAACCTTGCGGCAACCTCTCAAGTCCCTCTCTCTCTCTCATCGAATTTTATTTTCTTTTTTCTATGTTCTCACTATCTAAATTATTAATGAATAGTTGTGATGCATCTAGAAAAGATGAGTCCTATCTTCTGCATGACTCTTTTAATGATGGATAGTGTTGCCAGTGATGAGTGATTTTTGGATTGGGATGTTTTGAAAAATTATAAAAGGTACATATTCTACCGTCCAGATCTAGATTTATATAATTTTCTTTATGGATTTATATGATTTTCTTTGTTATTTTTGAGATTTATTAAAGGACAATTTTTCATTTTAGACCTCTTTAGAAACATATTTTAAAAAAATCGACCTCTTTTGAAAATATTCGCCAATTTCTACCCAATTTCAGCCAGTTGGCTGAAACTGGGTCGAAATTGGTGAAAAATGTTCAAAAACTTCACGGGATTTATAATCCCGTGAAGTTTAAGCCATTTTATTAACAACGTCGTTAGGGGGGCTAATTCTTCATGGGATTTGAAATCCCGTGAAGTTTAAACTTCACGGGATTTCAAATCCCGTGAAGTTTAAACTTCACGGGATTTCAAATCCCGTGAAGTTAACTTCGCCCTCATGAACATCACCTCCCCCTCCTCCTTCGCCGCCTTCCAGCAGCACCTCGGGCCCCATCCTCAACATCTTCACCGCCTCACACCTTCAAATCCTTCACCCCGACCTCCCTCCTCATCGCGAACCCGCACTTCCTCTCGTTACAATACGCCTCCACAGGCTCTCCTCCATCAACCTCGGCCTCGCCACGGCCGCCTTCACGTTGCGCTCGCATTCGAGGGCGATGCGGACGAGGCCGGAGGCAAACTCACGGACGAGCTGCTGGTGGACGTGGCTAGCTGGCAGCATGACCGTCGGGGGGGGGGGGGGGGACTTGGGGTCCGCCTAGAACACGAGGAAAACGTGGCCGCAGAGTGGGCTGTAAATGGTGTTCGTCACGCGGGTGACGTAGTGGCCTGCGCTGACGGAGGCAGGCGAGGAGCAGCGTGCACCGGGATGAAATCCCGTGAGTTTAATCTTCACGGGATTTCAAATCCCGTGAAGATTTGGCAACGACGTTGTTAATAAGTGGCTTACTCTGCATGGGATATTAAATATTGTCGAAGTTGGCGAATATTTCAAAAGAGGTCGATTTTTAAAAATATGTTTTAAAGAGGTCTAAAACAAAAATTTGTCCTTTATTAAATTCCAGATTCTATCTAATTATTATAACTTGAACCTAATTATTATAACTTGTATTAAGATCTTGTTTTTCTTTGCTTTTATTCGTTGTTTTGTTTCCAATTTAGCATAATTTTATCATAATTGCATAATTTATTCAGTCAATTATCATAATTTGTGTTTAATTTACTTGTTGAATCTAGAACTTATTTACAAGCTAATTATCGTCGCATGGTTATAACTTTAGTCGAGTGGAATAGTAGTGTCACAAAATTCATGCGTGTTCACCTTACATTTAGGGTTAATTTAAGTATAGCACATTATATTTTTTTAATTTATATCTAAATTAGCTAGAAATTTTGTTTTTCTTCCAATCAACCACCTGATCCACTTTACTGCTAAAATTTCCCCAAAATCCTAACAATATTCTTACTTAATCTGACATTTAAAGCTTGTAGAGCATTAGCAAGAGAGATATGTGCTTTACACTTTGTAATTGCTTTAAATATAAATTAAAAATATAAGTTGATTTTATGTAAATTGACCCTAAGGGAGTGTTTGGTTCAATTTTTACAAATTATAGGAAATGTTTTCCACCCAAAATATGATTTCCTTGTATTTCTTAAAAAAATTATAGGAAAATTTTTGAGAAGTCAAAAAGTAACAATTTTCTTGTTTTTTGTACTTTGCTTGTTTGGTTCAAAACAAGAAAACGACCAATAACTTTATAGAAAATAGCAAGATTTTCTATAATTTATAGAAATTGAACCAAACACCCCCTAAATTTGTAGAAAATTGTCAACTTTATAGAAAAATGTCAATGGGGTGTCATAAATATAACCTGAATTGTTTCTATTCAAAATTTAAAAGTAGAGATTAATAGTCCAATTGAAGTGTTGAACTATATAAAGTGGTTAGATTCTTTTCTAAATACTTGAATTGCTTAGCGTGTATTATTGACTACACGCGTAACAGTTGCTTCCGCTGAAAGAAGTTTTTCAAAATTAAAATTACTAAAATCTTATTTAAGATCGAGCATGTTAACAAGATAAATTGAATGGTTTAACAATATTATCTATCGAAAGTAATATGTTAGAAAATATTGAATATAAAATTTTAATTAGTAATTTTGCAGCTCAAAAGGTAAGAAGAATGTAATATGTTAGAAAATATTGAATATAAAATTTTAATTAGTAATTTTGCAGCTCAAAAGGTAAGAAGAATGAGATAAAATCTATTATGAGTTGTATCATAGTAATTTTGCAGCTCAAAAGGTAAGAAGAATGAGATAAAATCTATTATGAGTTGTATCATTTGGGCATCATCTAATATTTCGCATTGGGCCTCAAAATTCCTAGGTGCGGCCCTGCGTCTCAAACAGGCCTCCGACTGAGGCTCTTGAGATTTTGACCTACGGATTCAAAGGTAATTCGCCTTCACTGAGCATGGAAGCTCCTGGCGCAACGCTCTGAAGCTGTGTGTTCACAAATTGCTCTGCTCGGGTGAAGTTGAGTCGTACGAGCCCGCTAAGGGGGAGGAGATTGTGAGTCTTGTTGACTCTTTGAAAGTGGCAGCTGAGGGAAGAACTGTGGTTGATCATGTCACCGCAAAGGTTACATATAGACGAGCTAGTTAACATAAAATCATAAAATTAAGTTTCAAGTAAGACATCTCATTAGCTGTTTAGTAAATCATAAAATTTAAGTTTCAAGTAAGACATCTTATTAGCGGTTTAGTCCACTTCCACTGATTAATTTATTCGTGTTAACTAGGGCCATTTCATCGTTAATTAATTGTTTGGTGTGGTTGTTTGTGGGAGACGCAGTGTGTAGGATTATGATGGGGAGAAATTAGTTCATGGAGGGAA